GCCCTCCCTGCAATGCTAATGCCCTAAATAAAGCAATACAAGTCAAGATTTCCCCAGATTCGGAAATCTCTGGACTCCCTGGGGCTCCTTTTCAATTTAAATGGGTTTGTTTGTTACTATCAAAATTATATATATTCAGAAACTAAGCGCAAGTCTAGTTTCCTCGCATTTCAAATATTTGAAACTGTAGGATCACCAGCAAGCACTTTCTTCCACCATGTAGATTTGTATTATGGACCCGACTCTAAACCTTCCTGGTTAATGATGTTCAGGAAGATAACGAGGTACGTCGTTGTTTTTACTTCCCCTGCCTCTATGTATATTTACACAGAGATTAGCATAATAGTGACGTATTAAAGGTACGGGTGGCCTGATGCGCTAAGCTCCTCTGCAGAGTTGCCTCCCTTGTGTACGCCAGATGATTGGGTGAGTGAGTGAATTTACTTTTATGCCACAGTCATAAAACTTCCAGATATATGGCGGCGGTCTGTAAATAATCGAGTCTGGACCAGACAATCCAGTGATCAACAGCATGAACATCGATCTACGCAATTAGGATACGATGACATGTGTCAACCAAGTCAGCGAGCCTGACCACACGATCCCGTTAGTCGCCTTTTACGACAAGCATGGGTTACTGAAGACCAATTCTTACCCGGATCTTCACGGGTTGTTAACACCATACCCGAGCTTGGCATGTTCCCACTTCACCGGATGCCATTGTTGAAGCTGTATCTCTAACGGGGGTTTAACTAAAGTGGTACACGTCTTAGAGCTGCCTTACTTCGGGTTTTCATCCCACATTCAGCATATTGATCCGCCGTGTGATAACTGGGATACTGTTTAACTCACTCACTCACTCCTTATGAAATATCATCATACAACTTTCGTATAGCATCATGTCGGAAAACGCACAATAAATCTCGAAATCATCATCATCATCATAATCATTTACGTATATATATAACCCAGTAAGTTTGGTTTTACGCCACATTCCCGAATTCTCCGCACTATAGGGACACCAGAAGCGGGTGTCACACATTTTGTCTATATGTAATCGAACTCTAGTCGTTGGCGTAACGAGCGAACGCTAAAACCGCTAGTCTACCCACATCGCCATCATTACGGGGCGGTGGGGTAGCCCAGTGGTTAAGGCCCGGGTTCGATTCCCAACATGGGTACATTGTGTGAAGCCCATTTCTGGTGTTCCCCGTCGTGATATTGCTGGAATATTGCTAAAAGCGGCGTAAAACTAAACTCACTGACTAAATTACCACAAAGGAAAGCGAAACGACAGTATCATGCAAATTGTTTCTTACTGGCTGATTATGCAAATGTATGTGCCATCGTTCAGTTAAATTAAACTTTACCTAATGTGAGACCTCAAGTTACAAATGGGAATAGAAGATTTCATAGCATCTTGACAACCTTGACATTTTCGTTCAGGTTTGAAATCAACACCATTGATCTCGTATGGGGAGACTGTCATGGTGAACTGTATATATATGTATTAGTACTGTTTCCACATAAAAGGGCTTTCGAGGCTAAACTATTTTGAGCACAAAAAGGATTTGTGTTATAAGGAATATACTCAGCCTGTCTGAACTGGCGCTCCGCTGTTCTGCGCACTTGACTGTGAGATGTGGTTTTACTGCCTCTAGACTGGCTAACAGTCGTTGCTTGTATTCATGGACGACTTATCTAGTTCCACGGCAATTATAACTACAAATCCCAAATATCGTGGCATTTTTCGTTTGAGAAAATGGGTTGAAGTAAATTTATGTCTACAAATGAAGTGATTGTTAAACACTTAGGAAGACTTATGTTTATGAAACTTTCACAAGTCTGTTTACACATACGGGTTTTCTCGGACAATGCATGAAAGCTGATCGTGACTTCTCGTTTCCATGCGTTCACTGCACTTAGTGGGGACCACGTGACCAACTCGGAGGAAGTTTTGAAATAAAACACAGCATGGAGGAACATGAATTAATATAAAAGTCGAATATCATTGCAAACACGGACCATGTTAAGATTGATTGATGTTAACTTCGGATTTAACACTGCGTAGAAAAAGCTAACTGTACTCTGTTTGCTGGAACATTTTTAATATGATTCTGAAACCTTTTCAAACATATTTCGGGTTAAGGTTCCGCACATGGGTGGGGTTTATAGTAGACCAACAATCACGTGTATCATTTGAACACAACGTGTTTACAGATACAGCGCAGACATATTGGCAGATGCAGAGGGACTCTGAGTTGCGTCCCTTGAGCTTACCAGAAACATATGATCGTTAGTTTTTATCCTTAGGTTTGCTACCACCATATCTGTGCTCATGAATTTCACGAAAGAGACGAAAGTCTCCAAGTGCTGCATCACTTTCGGCATTCCTCTCACATGATGGTGACACGCCGTGATATAACAGATATACTGTTAAAACCAGCTTTAATCTCACATCACTCACTCATACACGATGAATAGACAGGTTTGGAGGTTTAAGCGGTATTTCACTTCTACCACAAGACGGCCTAGATTTTCGAAGCTCTCTTAGCGCTAAGATAGTTGTAAGTAAATGTTAATGTTTGGCACTTACGACTATATATATCTTAGCGCTAAGAGAGCTTCGAAAATCTAGGCCCAGGGCGGTGGGGTAGCCTAATGGTTAAAGCATCCGCTCGTCACGCTGAAGAGTAGCAGAAGACCCGATTCGATTCCTACCACAGCAGGGGCGGTGGGGTAGTCTAATTGTAAAAGCGTCGGCTCGTCAAGACACAAGTTACACACTCACTCACTCTACCACAGCATGGTGGCATAATGTGGAAATGTAAAAATGAGTTTGAGTCACGTTCAAAACTGTCATTATTATTATGTCTCTGAAATATAGCTATGCACAGATTGGCAGCATGTTCTAGTCTGCACTGAAGGCAGTGTTATAGTACGAGCCCACAGTCATACAGTCTGCCACTCCCTGAACCATATGACGTTCCCTTCCACCAATCCCCCTTGCACTGCCACAACATTAAATGAAGCAAGTGTAACTATAGATTTTACATGGGGAAACTCCCATCTCACTTGCAATCGTTTTCAATTTCAATGCAGTTTCTTATTCTGAAAGTATATACATGCATGCATGACTAAGCGCTAGCCTAAGTGAGATACTATGGCACAGTTTAATTTGGATATTTAACCCTACTCTGACACTGTCTTTGATTTTTACGCTTAGTGCCGAGCACTAGGCAGGGCAACAAAAAGTACCATCTTTCGACGCATTATATATTCTCCAGACACTCTCAACACTGAACTGGGGATTCAAAGACAAAACACGTCGTAGCAAATGTCATTGTTCTGCGGAATGAAAGAAAAGCTCCATATCATAAATATTATAACTTTATTACGTGTGAAACCCATTTCTGGTGTCCCCCGCCGTGATGTTGCTGGAATATTGCTAAAAGCGGGCTAAATCTATACTCACTCACTATTACTTTATTTATCAGTTTATGAACACGGACTAGGTACACACAACTGTGCGTTTGTGTCCGCAAATGCGTTTGAATAAAGATGTTTATCTCGCTGACAGCAGCCCTGAATTGTATATATTAATATTTTCTACCAATGACCTTCAATGAAATAAATAGTGTTAATTTCAGATGACTAGTTTTTAGTTCTTGCCTGTCGTGAGGAAAATGACGAATGCTCCTAGCTAAATAAGTTTCCACTGGCAACAAGATGTGAACCTTTTAATCAAAATTGTCATGTCGTGTAATAGACCTAAAATAAGACATATACAAGGATCCGGCATGTACACAATGGTTGAATTGTTGTGTATCTAACTGGCCTCGTTATGAAATCAACACGTTTATCTGGCTCGCACCAGCATATGTCTGTTTCCATTGTGTGAAGTAAGAGATGTTTTATCTGTTGACGCATGCGTAGAATGCTGATGACATATCATTTTATTACGCAAATAGCTATGGCTTATGCATACATTTACTAAATGTCATTTGGTTTTGTATATTCCCTGTACAAGGTTGTATTACAACAGGGATAGATGCTAAAGAAGATAATAACAATATGTTTTGGAAATGGGCGTGTCAAATGGAGTAACAATGATTCCTAGTCTGTCTAATAATCCGCCGGCAAATAATATTGATCCGGCTTAATAAAACAGCGCAGAAAATGCATATGCGGTGTTGTCCGATGCTGCTGTTGGTGGTGTAGGTGATAATGATGATGATTATGGTGATGATGGAGGTGACATGTCTGTTAAATTGCTGAATGTGGTGTATTAACGTTAAATGATGACAACCTTTAATTAAAAAAGCCTTCAGGAATTCAATTCATTGTCTTTCGATCTATGTCTTTGAGATATGTAACTGAATCAACAGATTCAGCATTATTGAATTTTTCACTTCGTATCAGACTAAATGTATCTCACAATTGCCTGGTGTTTGATTATGTTACCTGCATTTTATACTTTCATATCAAACGCAATTTTAAAATTATTTTGGAAACTTTGTCGATGGAAATTATGTTCTTGGTTCATCAAAAATAGAAAAGTGAGTTTATCTCCTGTAAACAACTGTGAAGCCTCAAAAATTGTTGTCGCACTCAGTTTTACCTTGAGGGCACGTACAAACATAGCGGAATTAGCTCCCTTAGTTAATACTTGTCGTTGCTCTTCCGCAATGTACCTTCAACGCGACTTATTCAGGCTTTGGTGATCGCCAGTGTGTTATTGGCTGTTATTTCCTCGCCGCCTTTACGCTAGTTTCCATGACGTCACGTGACGTTTGGAGACCCGTAGGGAGAATAGGATCTGGGTTTTCGTATTAAACGCTGTTTGTTCATAATGCTTTCATACCATTATTAAACATTTACTTGATTCCATTTATATTTTAAAATAGAAGATATGTATGAGTTTGTTTTTAATATTCATTAGCGGTAGTATTCACGAACCATCTGTTCGGAATTGGACTTCAGCATGTACCCCTTCACTGAGCCAATCCCCCATTGAAAGCCAGCCCGACATGTTGCGCTTATAGAAAAGGCTCGATAAGAGCCTAAATTTCGGGGGTTTCAAAACAGTATATTAGAAAACGACTCTACTACAACACTGGGGGATTTCTATTTTACACGGAACTACACGATCCAAGACCAAAGAAGAACATTGTGGCGAACAAGCTTGTGGTTTCCGACAGCCAGGCGGGTCATGGTCACTGCGGGAACACCTTTGTTATAACCAGACCTTGTCGATCCCGATTCTAGACCACTCGCCTGCCTACACACTGTAGGACATTTCAGTCAGAAAGGTAAGAATATCCTTTTCGATTTGAGAAGGCATTTCTCGATCGTCATGCTCTTTTAATCGTTTTTGATACAAAGTAGATGGTAGAGTATCCGCGTATGGTGTTTTCATTCGCCATCAACACTGCCAATCGCCTCGTGTTCCAAGGACGTGAGTTTAGTCTTCTCTCTCTGTTGGCAAACTGTATATAATAACCGTTTCCTCTTCCCTGCTTCTCGTGTACTTGTTTTAAGGCTTAAAAATGTGGAAATGTGTCAATTTAGTGACAGTGTTTATAGTGAGGAGATCGATAGTCATCCAGTGATTCATGGTGAGGCCAGTCGATGATATGTTGTGATGTAAACAGATCCCCAAACAGCTGATCATGTTCGTAAGACGTATCATTACAGAGAATTTCTCATCACTGCCGTGACCAGACGCGACTTCAATACTTTGTCCGCTGTTTGTGCATGTACGTGGTTTTTATAATTAATGCTGCAACATATGTCAGATTAGGTATTGTGCAATATACAAACGCTTGGCTTGGTAATGTTTGATTTAAATGTGTGAGAATTAGGACTTTACACTAGATCTATGTGATATTAAAATCCCAAGATTTTGTGTATCTAAAGCTGTGATTATGTGACTTATGTGTATTTCAGTAATGTATTTTAGTGTGAGTCTTCATGTGGATATTTTGAAAAACATGCAGAGCCAGGCAGAAACTGATGGTGGTGGGTTAGTTGTAATTTCAAATTAATTTCTTCTTTTTCCAAAAGAAATAAGTGATGAAAAGTAATCCATTTGAGTCATGAAAGTCAATGTTATAAAAAATATGATGAATGATGTTTGGATATCTCTCTAAAACTGTGTCCAGAAGTCTTCTCTACAAAAGCTCTTCTCACCCTATTTTGTTGTGTGTCATTTGCCTTCATTATCACTTGTGTATATACACTTAGGAAGTATCTAGGATTCAGATTATGTCATAATCCAAAGTGTTATGAGGGTCATATGATTAGCTGTAATTACTGAACACTTAAGGCACAGGTTACTATAGAAACAATGTTGATTGCTTTTACAACACCCCTGTAGGTGCAGACTATCATTGAAGACTTTTCGTTATAGACTGACTGACTGACTGACTGAGTTTGGTTTTACGCTGCTTTTAGCAATATTCCAGCAACATCACGGCAGGGAACACCAGAAATGGGCTTCACACATTGTACCCTTGTGGGGATTCGAACCCGGGTCTTCGGCGTGACGAGCCAACGCTTTAACCACTAGGCTACCCCACTGCCCCTTTCGTTATAGAAAGAACCTGGTGATAATCATTGCCCTTAGCAGTATGATCTTGTACATTTTATCTGTTGAAGCAACAACAAAAAATATAGAAAAAATGTAATTTATTTGCTATCATTATCTTTAGTATTTACTATTGTGATAGTTGAAATATCTGCAGTCAGATGGTTTACTACTGTACAGGTGGCACATGGATGTTATCATTTGCTTTGGCACCTATCTGTTAATTGTAGACTTGAATCCCTAGTTAAAACATATCATGAATTTCACCAGACTGATAAACACCAGCCACTTCATCCGGATGCTGATATGCAGTGCTAAAGCTAACCCTCTCAGTCTCACCCGTCCACCCACTTTCACTCACAATCACCCATCCACCCACTTTAACTCACAATCACCCATCCACCCACTTTAATTACATCTCACCCATCCATCCCCTTTCACTTGCTCAACCATCCATCCCCTTTCACTTGCTCACCCATCCATCCATTTTCTCTCTTGCTGATCCACCCACTTTCACTCACCCTCCGATCCACTGTCCCTCAAGGGATAGACTGAGACTGTACATCTAGAGCAACTAAACCATTAGTCAGAAATGATCAGGGGTGTCTTCCCTGCTCTCACAAACTCCCATACAAATTCATCTCTGTTGGTAGGGCCCACTTGTCATCTTGGAAATAGCAGCACACAGCTTGCTGTATGTAGTGGAGTTTTTGACAGGAAGTGTAGGCTTGTGCTGGGCATACGGGAGGTCTGCTTCCCCTCCCTGCTTCTGCAGATAAGAACTTCAAACTTAACAGTCTCTTCCTTTGGCGGCCGTGTTTGCTGGTGATGATAGTGAAATCCATCCAGGAAATCCATCCAGTAGGCCTATTGTCCTAGAATCGTAATATATGCGTGTTCTAATTTTGCTGCAGCCACTGATTCACTGATACCACCAAGTGGCTGTGGTTTGGACACAGTTCCCTGTTTTAGAGGGATGATGGGATAGCCGAAAGGTTCAAACATACAGTGATCACACAGAATGCCTGGGTTCAGTTCTCAATATGGTGAAGCCAATTTCTGATGTTTCCCGTTATTATACTGCTGGAGTATTGCTAAAAGAGTTGTAAGACAATGCTTATTCACAAAACATAGCACAGTCAAACACCTTTGAGATGAAGGGACCTACATAATAACTTGGAGTTATCTGAAGTTTTACACCTTCAGAAAACTGATTGGCAGGAAGAATGAATAAAATGAAACATGAGAAACAAACAAGGAAATGAAATAAATGTTCACAATTACATTTATTAAATTCCATAGTTTTTATAGAATCAGTTAACATACAAAATATCTGAGATGTAAGGATCAAGTGAGTCTGTGATCTGATATTCCGATAAGATGGATGTCGTAAAAATAAATTCCGGTTACAGTACTTTTATTTCATAATTTATGTTCTTTCCCTTTAGCAATTTCCAGCAATACAAACCCTGGCTTCATTTGTTTTAAATTTCATAAACGCTTTAACCATAAAGCTAAGAGAACATAGTAAAGATACTTGACAACTAGGAGACACAGTGAAGATAATGCTATTTATAGGTAATTGGGAATACTTGAGAATCTGCATGAACTGTTTGTGTTATTATTCACGATTTTACACCAATATGACTTTTAATGGAATGTATCATATATATAGAGATACAGGAGGTGAAAATCAATATATTATTAACCTCATATCACAATACAGCGCTGTATTGCCATTTGTGCCTTGTATATATCTGTGGGTAACTTTCACACAAACTTACCCGTGAAGGTCTGGGTTAGAATGAACCTTCAGTAACCCATGCTTGTCGTAAGAGGCGACTAACGGGATCGGGTGGTCAGATTCGCTGGCTTGGTTGACACATGTCATTGGTTCCCAATTGCGCAGATCGATGCTCATGCTGTTGATCACTGGATTGTCTGGTCCAGACTCGATTATTTACAGACCGCCGCCATATAGCTGGAATATTGCTGAGTGCAGCGTAAAACTCACACACACTCACTTTCACACAAACAATTTGACACATCAGAGGTTAAATATCTTTGACTGTTAATACAGTGTAGGATAATTGTACTTTTGAACATGTAAACGTGATTAAGACATGGAAAATATGATCCTGTGTTTGCTTCACAAGATTAAGGCAGGGGTAATGTTTTGGGGGGATTGGGGTCTCAGTTAGTTCAATGTTACTGTCAGAGGATGAGAGGATGTAATACCTGTGTACATCTAAGAGTGAATAAAACACTCAACCTTCCATAGGGTGTTTTTAAAATTTTCAAGTATCTCCTTGGGCTTCATATGAGTTGTCATAAAATATATTAGGATTAGCCATAAAATATATTAGGATTAGCTGTACCAGCAATAATGAGTGGTTCATGATTGAAGGATTGAGTCATGTCGGTCTGAGTTTGGATCTACGGGAGCGGTTAAGGTCAGATGATTTGAATTACACAGATGCCATTCCTCACACTAACAGTGCCAGGTGTAGTTTGCTTCCATGTAAACAAATTATACAGTTTGGCCATTGTGTCATCATTCGTATCTACAGTATGAAGTGAAACTTAACTATATGCAGTGATGAGGGGTGTAATAGTTGATCAAACTATCGTATTACCATCTAGATATGCATGTATTGTATCATAATGAAGTAAGCAACAGCAAGCAACCACTCACTGGGACATAGCATCTCATAGTGAGGTGTACTGATATGATTGATGGGAACACCAGTTGTGACGTTATGGAAACATTTCTATCATCAATGGAAATGAATAGTTACCCAAATGACCGTGAAGTAGACAAATACACTAGGACCTCTTGAACTTAAGGCAGAAAATAGTATTTTACAAATAATGATCATTGCAATTATTGAATGTTGGTGAATTCACCTGATGAAGGTGTAAACATATAACCCAAAGTTTGTGTTAACTGTAATGAGCCAGAGTTAGTTTGTAACTCACAGAGGTACAGATATTAAAGCTGCATATCTGCGGAAATTATGCAAATATTTGTGCGAAACACAATTCCAAATAATTTATTACATACAAGTACGCTTGAATTTTTGTAAATACTCAATATATTTGGTCTTATATGCATACACACAGATATGATAGATAGAATAGATACAATAACTGAGGTATATTGAGAGGTTCTATTTCAACACATGAACATGGCAAATTGCTGTCTTATCATTTCTCGTATTACAGATCAAATATTAATAACAAACATGGGAAACAACATGTAATTTTATTTTTTACAATTAATGGAAAATGGCCAAATACCCTACTGAATTTGAGTTAGGATGGTACAATTTATTTGGTTACTCAAAAAAACAATAGGATACCCAGTTAAAATGAACGCAAGTGAGTACATAACTCAATGACCCAAAAAGTTATCTGTAGCTCTGAACTCAGACTACAATGGTGTAATTATGTAATAATTATTTGGGCTTGTTCTATGTTCGCATTTATGTGCATCCAAGTTCCTTTACAGGAAAGTTGAGCTCTCAGTTGAAGCCAAGTTTAGGTTAATGTTGAATATTGTTTCAATATTTACTTTGTTACTTTCTTGGGGTGTGATAAATAGGCTTTTTTTTGTCTGATCAATTTGAATATTTTATCAAATTCAGCATTGGAGATTGAGGTTGTGTTATTGGGTAAACAAGGTTCAATTCTATTATGGGTATTTGAATCCATGGAACCTCT